CGAACACTCAAAGAACACAACTGTCAACCAAGAATACTGTATCCAGCAAAATTGTCCATCAAATATGAAGGAGAGATGAAGATATTCCCAGAAAAACAGAATCTAAGGGATTTTGTAAAAACGAGACCAGCATTGCAGGAAACACTGAGAGACGTCCTTCTCACAGAAGTGCCACGGAAAGCAGGATGGACCAAAGTAACAACACCACCAAAAAGAACTCAACAAAATGAAAGCAATAAAATCTTGCTTCTCAAAAATCACACTGGATATGAATGGTTTAAATGAACCACTAAAGAGAAAATGAGTAGCAGATTATATAAAAAAGCAAAATCCATCAATATACTGTCTACAACAGACACACCTGAAAAATGAAGATAAAGAAAGACTAAAAATAAAAGGGTGGGGGGAAAATATACCAAGCAAATGGCAACCAGAAAAAAGCAAGAGTAGTGATAATAATCTCTGAGAAAATAAATTTCAATGCAAAAGCCATCACAAAGGACAAGGTCACTAACTATATAATGCTTAAAGGGTCAATAGAAGAAGAGGACATAACAATAATAAATATGTATGCTCCAAATGAAAGACCTGAAATGTATAAAACAAACATCAACAAAACTGAAAAAGGAAATAGACAACACTACTATAGTAGTTGGAGACTTCAATACACCACTCTCAAGAAAAGATAGAGGGGAGCTCTGGTGGCTTAGTGGCAAGGAACTGCAACTACAATCCCAGAGGCACACGGTTCGAACCCACCAGATGCTCTGCCGGGGAAGGAGGGACAATCTCCTCCTGTACCAGTCAGATCTGATTTGACGGTACATGCACACAAAAAAATAAATTAAAAAAAAAAAGAAAAGATAGAACTACCAGAAAGAAACTCAGCAAAGATGCTGAAGAATTAAATCATACAATAAACCAACTTGATCTCATAGATATTTATAGGTGAATGCACCCAAAAAAAAGCACAATACACATTCTTCTCCAATGTGCATGGAATGTTCTTTAGGCCACAAGGCAAACATCAATAAATTTAAAAACATAGAAATAATACAAAGCGGTGAGCTCTGGTGGCCTAGGCAAGCTCTGGTGGCCTAGTGGCAAGAAGCTGCACTGCAATCTCAGAGGTACACGGTTCAAATCCACCAGATGCTCTGCTGGAGAAGGAGGAACAATCTCCTCCTGTATCAGTCAGATCTGATAATGAAATAAAATACAATAATGAAATAAAATAAAAAAAAGAAATAATACAAAGCATCTTCTCAGACCACAATGCCACAAAATTAGAAATTAATAGCAAGAGGATAAAGGAGAAAAATCCTTCTATTTGGAAGCTGAACAACACTTTGCTTGAATATGAGTGGCTACTAGAAGAAATAAAAAATAAAATTAAAAAGTTTCTTGAAAAAAATGACAATGAAAACACCACTTACCAAAACCTCTGGGAAATAGCCAAAGTAGTAATCAGAGGTCAATTTATAGCAATAAGCAAACACATCAAAAGACAGGAAAAAATTACCATTGACTCT